TCATATATTTGAATACTTGGTCCCAGTTACTAAAATCGTTGAGAAAGATTAGGAGATGTGACTTTATTGGAGGAGTTTTGTCACTGAGGACAGGCTTTGAAGTTTCGAAAGACTCCTGTCATTCCCAGTGTGCCTCTCTGCTTCCTACTTGCAGATCAAGATGTGAGCTCTTAGCTTAGCTGCTACTGCTGCCATGTCTTTGACCCACCATCATGGACTCTAACCCTCTGAAACCATATGCCCAATTAGACACTTTCTTTTGCAAGTTGTATTGGTCATGGTGTTTTGTCACAGCCAATAGAAAAGGCACTGAGACACCACCTTCTTTCACTGTTGACTCACCTCTCTTTTCAGCGGCTAGTTGGTGTCTATGTCTCTCTCATATGTCCTACTGAACTCTGTCTCGGGTTTCAGTTGCCTACCATCTGCCTATTCCAGAAACACTGTGGGAATAGGAGGACACACCTTTTCTATACACATACTGCTTTTGCACTCAAACACACTTGCCTGTCTGCTGAAACTGTCCCCATGGCCTTCAGGAGCCTCTGACTCTATGGCAAGTGGCTCCTGACCTTTGTGTAGAGATACAGTGCATGAAAGCATTGCCATGGCATCATGTTAGGTGGCCTGAAGGGAGCAATGCAGGCTATGTTGGTCCTTTGGGTTGATGTTTGGACAACCCCTCCCTGCAGTCCGGGTACCAGACCCAATAACCAAATACAGCCTTAAGCGCAGGAGCACTGTCTGGCACAGGAGGGGCTCCAGCTCCCTCTCCATCAACAGAAACCTCTAGGAAACAGTCATGGCTATGGTTACAATTCCAGAGTTAACTAGATGCACAAGAATATGACTGACACTAATACCGATTAAAGGATATATACTAGTTCATCTCACTCTGAACCTTAACAAGCCATGCCACTCAGGATAACTTTGTATTTTTTTTCCCATTTGTTTTTCTTGTCCAGTCAATGCTGGGAGCACCACTGTGGGCTTCAAATAAGAATCTACATACCCCTTTCTCAGTCAAAATTCTTTAACTGGCTCCTTCCCATTATCACCCTATCTGGGTGCTTCATCCTACTCCTTTTTGGGATTTGAGGGTTCTACCACTCTTAAGCAAGAGGTACCTTTTACCCAGTCTAAGTTTTAAACTCACCACAACAATAATTTCCAAACAAAGAAAGTACTTTTCCTTTTGAATCTGGGTAGAACCCAACATCATCTCTTTGTATTCTAGAATCAGTTTCCATAACAACCACACCTTTTGTTCTGCCCTAAGTTGGCAGTCCTGTTGGGATAGAACAGACAACTCTCTCTCCCCCCGCCCACAACCCCTTGACTCCCATGTTCATGCTCTGTTGCAGCCTGATGTCAGCTGTTTGCATGGACTGAATCATACAGGAACTGGTCCTTCTTCCCTTTTAAATTCAAACATCTACAGGACAAAACACTTCCACATAGAAGTCATTTAAAAACACAGCAATATACTTTGAAGTTCAGCCAATGAACAGATCTGAAAGAGGAAGGAAGTGTGAATGGCTGAATGGAGGACAAGCAGGCTGTAGCAACAGCTGGGAAACTTACATCAAGGTCAATGGCATAAACTATGAGTGGAGAGCAACCAAGGTGGAATTCAGGCTATGAAGACACTGGGTGAGTCACATGAGCTCTCTGAGCTTCAATGATGCCTCTGTAGTTGATAGAGACTAGGATGCCATGTGATTGCACGAGAAAAAAAGAAGCAAAGACTTAAAAAGTACTTATTATATAGTGCTTAGCATACAGCAGAAATTCACATGACAATTATATTGTCAATGAGGAAAGTTCCTATGGCTACACAAACAAGCTATTATGGTATTAGAACTGGCTTTTGCCCTTTGCACAGTGAGGTTAATAGTATGGAGAGCAGGTATTTAAGTATCTCTTTACACGTGTGTGTGTGTGTGTGTGTGTGTGTGTGTGTGTGTGTGTATGCCATGATGTACATATTGGGTTTCATCTTTCCATCTTGTTTGAGACAGAATCTCTTCACTATTTCCTAAGCCCTGCTAGCTAGACCACTATCTTACATGGATTCTTTTGTTTCTTCCTCCCATCTCCTGGTAAGGGAAGCTGGGATTGCAGATGCTTTTACATGGATTCTGAAGATTCAAACTCAAGTCACCTAGTTTGTGAGCCAGTGACTTTACTCAGTTACCCATCTACCCAAGTCCTGTGGTTTTTCTTAGCAACCTTTTCCTCCAGAGCCATTATGCCATGTCTAGAATTACAGGAGAACATCTATTAATTTCCATTGCTAAGGCCTGAGAGAATACACCTCCAGGGCCCATTGGAATCTCCACTTTTAGCTCTACATAAGTATGTTTAATTTTGAAACAGAAGCAAAAACATATGGACTGACCATTGGAGAATGTAGTCCATGTTCCACATCCCTAGAGCAGGAATATTTCAATTCTTCCCTATGCGCAGGAAAAACAAGAACATATATTTTTATGGCACCTTCATGGCTGAAGTGGCATTCAAGGGCAAAAACATAATCAAAAGCAAAAACCTATGTTTTTGCCCACAAACCATTGTATCATCTTTTCACCAAGGTTCTACCATACTCCCTCAGGAGACCATGATTCCAGGTGTTCATCCATTCCCTCAAGCCCCTTGTTGTTGTTGTTTATTCCTCCATTTTTTTTAAAAAAAAATGTTTGCTTATAACAGGGTCTCACTAGTAGCTCCAAGAAGCCTAACCTATATAGTCCAAGCTGGCCTTTCATTCATGATCTTTCTGCCTTAGCCTCCCAAGAACTGGGATTACAGGCATGCCTGGCCCTCAAGCTTTTATCATTAAAATATAAACTATTCACATATTTAGAACATCATCTTTTTTTTTTTTTTTTTTTTTTTTTTTTTTTTTTTTGGTGCCGGGGGTTGAACTGAAGGCCTTGCACACATGAGGCAAGCCACCTACCACTGAAATGGATCCCCAGCCTTCTTTTTCCTTCCCCTTTATTTTTAGAACTCATGCTATAGATGAGCCTTGAACTTGTAGTCCTTCTGCCTCAGCCTCCTTAACATGTGGATGTAGAAGGCTGTACCACCAGGCCTAGATATATTTTTAAATACTACTTGTGTCAACATAGTAGACCACAGGCCTCCAGAAGTCCTCCTAACTAAGACCTTTTAGAATGGTGAACAAAATACACTGTTTAAAAATAAATAAATAATCAAACAAACAAACAAACAAATAAATAAATAAAAGCTGCCGTACCATGTTAGGTGTCAGGAAAACAAGGGAGCTGTTGAATGCCAGAAACCAACCCCAGAAGGAACTGGACTGAGTTGGAACCTGTCATGGGCATCTTCCTGTGTTGACCCCTCAGCAACATTCAGCACTTCTTTCGCTGCAGAGGGCTAGGAGGGAAGTACTTCCTACTCTGTAGTCCACATGGTATCTGCTAGAGCCACACACCCTTGCCCTTGGGGCACAAACATGTTCCTTGACACTTGGAAAACAAAACAATGGGAATAGCCATCGTGATGACCAATCTCGGTTGTCAACATGACTGCATCTGGGATCAACTAAAAGCAAAGCTACTGGGAGCTCCTGTGAGGGACTTTCTTGATGAAATTATTAGAAGCAGTGAAGCCACCTTAACTGGGCAGCACCTTCTGGCAGCCCAGATAGAAGGATGGCATAGAAGAAGGAAACTGCTTTTCGACTTCTGGCCCTCACTCTCACTGGCAAGTTCATCTATCCTGCTACTGCAGCATTCCCTCACTGATATTAGAAGCAATTTGCTCATAATTCTAGCATAGACTGAAGATGCACAGCTCTCCAGGAATCCCTGAGGCCTTCAACACCAGGTGGGGATTGAGGAGGTATCAGCCTTGTACCAGATTCTCCACCACTCCACTGTGAGACAGCCATTGTTCACCATATCATGTAAGACAACCTAATAAATCTCATATATATATATATATATATATGTGTGTGTGTGTGTGCATAAATGTATGTACATATATGTGTGTGTATATATGTATACATATATGTGTATGTATGTATATATGTGTGTACTTATTCATTTATTCCCGCCTTTAAGATTACATATATATATGTGTGTGTCTCTAAATGTGTATGTGTGTTATATATATATATATATATATATTCATTCTATCAGTTCTGTTCCTTTAGAGAACCTGACTAACATTAATACAGATGTGCTTTAGAAAACATTTATTTATAGACATCCAAGGAGAGGAACTTGGCCCGGGAGTGGTAATTGACAGAGCCGTTCATCACAGTATGGCTTCTCATAGTTTCCCTCTAGAATATGTCACTGCATGAGACATTTGACATGTGTGAAGACCACTGTAGCAACAGCCTTGTTTCTTCATACCTCCCTGTGTCCCTATGGTAGGAGGTGGGCACACGGTCTCTAGGCTAGACTGCGTGCCCCAGTCTGGTCAGTGGGGAATATTAAATGCAGTATGTAGAGAACAAGGCTCACACACTTGCTGTTCCAGGTCTTTACACATACCACTCACACCATTTACACATACCATTAGCTCACACCAGTCTGAGACACTCCCATTTCTCCAGCCAGCAGTGAGTGACCAGCAGCCAGCACTGACTGCCATATGAGGTCATCTGAGACCAGCTGGTCCTGAACTTTCCACAGGGTGACTAAGGTCCCATGAGTGAGACCAGTTGAGCCTTGAAGAAGGCCTACCAAGTTGAGCCCTGTCCAGTTTCCTGAGCTAAAAGCACAATTATTCCAATCAACTGTTAAGTGATTTTTTTTCCACAGCAAAAGAATGAAATACATTCCACAGGAAGTTCATCCACTATAGCTAAAATGGGAGAAGCAAGGAGGTATATTTACAGAAATTGTCTTTTAAAAGACAGGAAAAACATATTTTTAGATATATTTCCATTTCAGAGATATTGTCACCCACCAGCAAGGATGAGCCCTCCCCTGTAATTCCAGTGACTGAACTGTCCCTACCTGAGCAAACTTCTTTGTAGGTGGGATTGCGTGTGTAGCCTCCTGCAAAGCCCACTTGGGTTGAATACACACCTTTCAAGAGCCAGAACTTGCGCTCAGCACCCCAGAAGCAGCCCATTCCTGCAGAGAACAAAACAAAGATAAATCGTGTATCCAAAATAAAGTGGTCACTATGTATCACCATATCTATTGAGTAGAAGGGAGAAGCTCCTCCTGCCACCTGATGATCAAAAAGGCCCAAAGGATTCAATACTGAAGAATAATTTAGTGGCAGCAAGATGGCTCAGCAGGAAAAGGCTTGGTATGAAAGCCTGATGACTGGAGCTCCATCCCCAGAACCACAAAAGCCAGATACAATGGCTCACATCTGTAACCCCAGTATTCTTGTGACAAAATGGTGGTGGGAGGAGAACAGGACAGTCACCCTGAACCATGTGCAGAACAGCAGCTAACAAGAGGTAGAGGAAAGAACCAGTTCCCAGGAAGTTGTCCTCTGTCCTCTACATGCAAACATACACATGTAAACAATAATAAGTGAACATTTTGAAACTCCTTAACATAAATTAAAGATAAAAATATATACTTCTGAATAACATAATAACATGTAACTATTTTTATAGATTTTTTTTAAAAATTTATGTGCACTGGCCTTTTGCCTGCATGTCTATCTGTAATGAGGGTGTTGGGTACTCTGGAACTGGAGTTATAGTTATGAGCTGCCATATGGGTGCTAGGAATTGAACGCAGGTCCTCTGGAAAAGTAGCCAGTGCTCTTAACCTCTGAGCCTTCTCTCCAGCCCCAAGGGTAACTATTTTAAGAAGATTTCCACATTTACTTCATAAACTAATAGAAATTGGTGTAATCATCAGCTACAGGGTCATTGTAACAAAGATGTATAAGTCTGGGTTGATTGAAATGGGAAAACATACAAGATCAATAAAGATTGAGACAGTTATTGCCAATCAACAAAGCTAACAGATGTGTCAGCTTTGAAATTTTTTTTAAAGTTACAATAAATTTGCAAGTGATAAAGCAAGGCTCACCCAAAAGTCAAATTTTCTGAGTGGGCAGGGGGAGGCAGGGCAACTAAGGAACTGCAAGCAACCAACAAACTCAGTGGACAATTACTGTTTACACCAGCCACTAAATCCCTTTGGGCATCTAATGCAAACTAAGACCTGCTCTGCAATCCACACGTGCTCACAGCATAAAGGCCGCAATGCTCCTAACACAGGACCTCTACCTTCTTCCGGAAGATCCCCAACTGCTGAGTTCTGCTGCTCTCTGGCCCATTTCCACACATTACGCAAACAGGACTGCTCCCACTCCCAAGTTTTGCATGCCTTCAATAAGTCATAGGTGATTTTATTGGTTACATTTTTTGTTGCTGTAATAAAGTACCATGACCAAAGGCAAGTTTAAAAAAAAAAAAAAGAGTCCATTTTAGCTTACATTTCCAAAGAGTGATGAATCCATAATGGTGGGAAAGGTGTGATATCAGCAACAGGGAGCTGGGAGGTTATGTTTCAACCATACACAGGAATCCAAGAAGGACTGGAAGTGGGGTGAAGCTATAAAACCTCAAAGCCCTCTCCCAGCGATGTACTTCCCCCAACAAGGCTGCTCTTACTAAAAGTTCTGTAACCTCCACACACAGCACCATGCACTGGGGACCAAGTGTTCAAATAACCAAGTCTATTGGGAACAATTTTTTCATCCAAATCACCACACTAAGTCCTAGGTAAAACAAGTGGGTAAGCTAGTGTATGCTTTTGAGGCACAGACTACACTAGCTAGACTTTTCCACAACTGTAAGAACATATACTTCATGACATTCTTAACATTTGTTAATATTGCATTTCTAAAAAATTCAAAGCAACATGGTAACTAAAAAAGATGGTGGACAAAAAGTTCTACAGTATTCAGAAATATTATTCTTGCTAAAACAGGAGCAGGAATCTAACAAAAATAGGTTAATAGCTTTCAACAGGGATAAATCAAAATAATGAAATTCAATGCAGTGAAAATTACCATTATGTTGATAGTACAGCATGTATATGATTATATCATAATTATCTACAGCTAAATTAAAAAGGAAAAACACAATTATATGCATGCTTTTATTATAACTATAAAGAAATAATCATACCAAAATAGACTGGAGTGAAATATCCTAAAGTTGTAACCAAGGTTTTTATCAAGGTGAAGTATGTGGAAAGGCTTCTTTTTATTTTTTTAAAGTTTTCTGTCTCTTAGTATGGTGGCTCACACCTATAATCCCAGCACCAGAAAGGCTGGGGTAGTAAGATTTACTGCAAGTTCAGGGCCAGACTGGGCTACAGAGTGAAACCCTATGCTCTAAAAAGCATTTTCCCCCTGTAGTAGATTCCTATTAGTTTAAACATGTAAAATATAAACATTTTTTAAAAAACAGAATACATAAAAGCAGCATAAGACTATTTGTGCTTGGCGCTGACACGCCATCCTTCCTGTTGCTGAGTGAATTGTTTACTGGAAGGAAATATAAAAAGGTACTGAGCATCTTTAAAACTGAGTGCCCGTGTCTGTGGCACACAGGGTTACTGGTAAGCTGGTTTTCCTGCAGAGCCCCAGCTGAGCAAAAACAACAAGACATGGCTGGAGAAGAAAAGGGGAGCTGGGAAGCCCCACCCCACCCCACCTCACCCCACTCCCGAGGTACGGGAGTTGTATGGAGCTGTGGACACCTACTATGGAGAGTCTAACATCTGTGGGACCCTGTGAACAAAACAGTGCTGCACTGTGCCATGACTAACAGTAATGGCACACAGGGAGCCATGGATTTCCACAAACAGTACATTTTCAAAGGCTATTTGACCCCCGTCCCTCCCTGCTCTTTCAGTGCATGTCCAATGAGTCCCAGGCTGTCCAGGCCATCCAACTGTATGGTTCAGTGGTCTCCCTTTATTTGTGATTTCACTTTCTTATTAACAATCATTATCTAAAAATATCCAGTAGAAAATTCCAGAAATAATTCCCGGCTTAAAAGCTGTACCCCACCCATGTAGTGTGAGGAGATTTCACACCACTCCATTCTTTTTCCAGTCAGTACACGAGCCATCCCCTTGTCTAGTGTATCCATACTGTCTATGCCATCTACCCACTAGTAACTTTGCCATCTAAGAAATCAGATCAACAGTGGCAGTATTCCAGTGACAGTATTTGGAGAGACCTTATTGGCCTTAGGAGGCCTCAAAGTACAAGAGTGATAATCAAAGGAATTCCAATATACAGAATAGAAGCCATAGAATATGTGTATAGAGTGGCCTATTGCTTTAGCCGGATGAAGGGCCTTGAAGCATCCTCCACAGATAAGAGGTTTGACTGTTCATAAGTTTTTAAAGACAAGCTGTGGAAACTTGAATGAGATGTCCCCATGGCCTCAGACATTTAAATACTTGGTTCCCAGATGATAGAGCTATTTGGTGAGCCTTTGGAGGTGTGTTGTTATTGGAGGAAGTAAATCAGTAGAAGTGAGATTTTTTTTTTTTTTAAAGACTCACTGGGTGGTGGTGGTGCACACCTTTAATCCCAGCACTCAGGAGCAGAAGTAGGTAGATCTCTGAGTTCCAGGCCAGCTTGATCTACAGAGTAAGAGTAATAGACAGCCAAGACTATATAGAAAAACAAAAACAAACACACTATTCACAGTTTTCTCTCTTCCTTGTGCTTGAAATTCAAGCATTAAGCCCTAAGCTTCTTCTCTCAGCATCTAGTCTCTGTCTCCTGGGGCTCTGTTCACCAACATGGATTACAACCCTCTGCAACCTGGATGCCCATAAGCCCAAATAAACCCATTCTTTTAAAAGTTGCCTTGGTCATTGTATTTTATAACAGCAATAGAAAAATGACTAATATAGAAATCAGTACCAGGAGTGGGATTTTGTGGTAACAGACCTTATCATGCTGTTTCATAGAAAAATGTAAAAACTTTGGGATTTTGCACTAGAAGGTGATTGAACATAGTAAGCAAGGCTTAATGAGCAATCCTAGTAGTAGCTTAGAAGACAGAAGTGCTGAAAATCATGCAAACTGTGGAGACCCAGCTCAAGGGGCTTTAAAGGGGAGCAGTATCAGCAGATGTGCTAGAAATAATTATTGTGATATTTTGGCAGAGAATATGGCTGTCTGGTGTTATCCTAAGAACTTGCCCAAGTATCACACTCATTTCTTTGGTAGAGGAAACATTAAAACAGCCTAATATTTACTCTGTGGCATGGATATTAGTGATCACTCTTATGCAGATCTTGAAAAAGACCAAGTAGGACTAAAAGAAATATAAAATACAGTTTAATAAGAAAAGAGTGGTATAGCTAAGATTTGCAGCCAAGAAAGGCCTCATCTGCATTGGAATAAAGGGAATGGTGCCCTCATGGCAAGACTTCATCCATCTTAGCTTCCTACTTGTAAAAAGGCCTAAAGAATATTTCTGCTTACAAATAACAACAAAAAAGGAAAATGGCTGAAAATGTGATTCAAGGGAGTCAAGATCTGTCCCAAGCAAGTAGCCAAACTTGGCAGTGTTGCTCACATGCTTCTGGCTTTAGAGAAAGAAGGATACACAAACTGGTTGTTGAATCTTCCTCCATGATTAAGGAGCGCCACTGTGGCAGAGGAGTCTCTACACAGAGGCCCACCCAAGAAAGGCTGCTGCTGTGAAAGTGAAGCCTGTATTGCCTGAAGACCCCAAGATGTTAGAGATGCCAGAACCATAGGATATTTGCCAAAGAGAGCTGTTGACAGGGAGTGGGACCAGCCCCAAGAGTACTTGGTGTAATGCAAAGCTAGAAGGGTGGAGCCATCTAAGGCTTAGACACTAGATATGGAGCTATAAGATTTGAAGTTTGCCCTTCAAAGGTTCCATATTGCTTTGGACTAGGATTTCTTCACTATGCCTGCAATCCTCTCTTTTTGGAATAGTAAGGTATATTTTGCGCAATTATATGTTTGAAGTATGTAATTTTCTTTTTTATTTCACATAGGCTTACAATTAAGCAATTTCTTGAGTCTCAAAAGAGACTTTGAATTTTAGACTTTTATACAACGTTGATATTGTGAAAGACTTTTGAAGCTGAACTCA